AGTTCCCTTGTCCCCTCAGCCCTGCCTTATCCAGCTCCAGTTCCCCAGTCCCCTCAGCCCCACAGGGGAAGGCAGTTGAGGATAATCATGCCAGCAGGGAAGCAGTTAGGTATCAATCAGGCCAGCAAAGGAGTGGTTAGGGGGCTCTCGGCCTGGCAGACAGAGTGGTTAGGAGCCAGCAGTCCCAGATTGGAGAGGGATGTCCGACTGCCGGTTTAGGCTCCTACAGGACTGGGCCTAAACCAACAGTTGGACATCTCCCAAGGGATCCCAGATTGGAGAGGGTGCAGGCTGGGTTGAAGGACACCACATGCGTGTGTTCCCCCATGCATGAATTTTGTGCACCGGGCCTCTAGTTTAAATATATTTCTTTATTGATTTCAGAGAGGAAGAGAGAGATAGAAACCTCAGTGATGAGAAAGAATCATTGATTGGCTACCTCCTGCACACCCTCTACTTGGGATCAAGCCCGAAACCCGGGCATGTGCCCTTGGCTGGATTCGAACCTCGGATCCTTCAGTCCATAGGCCGACACTTTGTCTACTAATCCAAACCAGCTAGGGCTATAATATATTTTTATTGATTTTAGAGAGGAATTGAGAGGGGAGGAGAGAGAGAAACATCAATGATGAAAGAGAATAACTGATTGGCTACCTCCTGCAAGTCCCAAACTGGGGATGGAGTTTGAAACTTGGGCACGTGCCCTGACCAGAAATCAAATCCATGACCTGCTAGTTCATAGGTAGACATAACCACTGTGCCAGCTGACTGGGCTTCACATAGTTTTGAAGGTTTCTTCTCACACTTTCTGGAAAACCCTGAGCTGCACTGGGTGTGTTGATACTCGTTTGCCCATGGAGTTGGAGCTCAACATTGGAGTCCAGGAAGGAGTATGTTCCTGAATATGTGGAGATCTGAATAATGACTTTAAAGAAGAGCAGAGCTGAAACCGGTTTGGCTCAGTGGTAGAGGGTTGGTCTGCGGACTGAAAGGTCCCGGGTTCGATTCCGGTCATTGGCATGTACGTTGGTTGCGGGCACATCCCCGGTAGGGGGTGTGCAGGAGGCAGCTGGTCGATGTTTCTCTCTCATTGACACGACATTTCTAGCTCTCTATCTCTCTCCTTTCCTTTCTGTAAAAATCAATAAAATATATTAAAAAATAAAAAAAAATAAAATAAAAAAAATAAATAAATAAAGAATAGCAGAGACTGACCAGGCAGATGAGGGGAGGGAAGACAACACAGTGGGCAGGCACTTGGTGAGTTCTGGTGTATTTGTGTGTGGACCTGGATTGAGGTAGGAAAGAATGGCTGGAGAGGCAGGGACAGGTGTGGCTGGCTACCTGTTTTGCTTGGGAGTTTGGCCTTTAATTAAAAGGCTAGGGTGGTGCTTTAGGGGAGGGACATGGCCAGCTTTGTTGTTTAGAGGTCAGGATGCAAAGGAACAGAAAGAAAGGCACTGACCTTGCCCAGCTGGGTGTGGCTCAGTGATTAAGCTTAGACCCAGGAACCCAGAGGTCACTGGTTTGATTCCCAGTCGGGGGACATGCCAGGCTAGTGGACATGCAAGGGGCAGCTGATTGGTGATTCTCACTCATTGTTGATGTTTCTATTTCTCTCCCCCTCACTTTCTGAAATCAATAAAAAAAAATATTTTTTTAAAAAAGCACTGGCCTTGACCAGAGCATGGTCTTGGAACAGGACTCACATCAATGATCCTGTTTTCCTACCTGTTAAGCCAATTGACAGTGAACTCTGACCACATGGTTATTGTGGCCATTACATGGAAATAAATAAATCATGGTCAAGCAGGTATTGGCATAGGAGCCCTGCTTGCCATTTTTTAAAAATATATTTTTTATTTATTTCAGAGATGAAGATTTTATATATATATATAAATAATGGGAGAGAATCATCAATCAAACCCGGGACCCTTCAGTTTGCAGACCAACACTCTATCCACTGAGCCAAACCAGCTAGACCCCTGCTTGCCATTTTTAAAGCAAAGACCTCAGTCCACATAGTTTTGAAGGTTTCTTCTAGCACTTTCTGGAAAACCCTGAGCTGTCTTGTTCCTCAGGAGAGTTTCCTCTTTCTTGCCTTGCCCCACTAGACCGAAGGACTTTTCTGTCCCTTTATCCTTTCACCCTCCTCATTCCACCACTACTTCTGCCAAGTAGTTTTTGTGTAGCAAGTTATCACATCACTAAGACAGTATTGAGAAGGAAAAAGACACTGACACGCTTCCTCTGCCTCACTGACCCACAGTGTCAGCACTTTTTTTTGTCTTTGGATCATCTTCTAAATTTCTTCTCACCTTCCATCTCTGCCTTCCCAGTTTCTTTTTTTTTATTTTTATTATTATTATTTTTTTCTTATAGAGAGAGGAAGGGAGAGAGATAGAGAGCTAGAAAAGTTGGTGAGAGAGAAACATCGACCAGCTGCCTCTTGCACACCCCCCACCAGGGATGTGCCCGCAACCAATGTACATGCCCTTGACCGGAATCGAACCTGGGACCTTTCAGTCCGCAGACTGACGCTCTATCCACTGAGCCAAACCGGTTTTGGCCCTTCCCGATTTTTTGCCCTGACCTCTTTTCCTTTCCCCATATATTTGCTTATGCTATTTTTATTATTTTTTAAAATATATTTTATTGATTTTTTTACAGAGAGGAAGATAGAGGGTTAGAGAGTTAGAAACATCGATGAGAGAGAATCATCTATCAGCTGCCTCTTGCACCAGCCCCACTGGGGATGTGCCCGCAACCAACATACATGCCCTTGACCGGAATCGAACCAGGGACCTTTCAGTCCGGAGGCCGACGCTCTATCCACTGAGCCTGATTAGCATATTCTTTCTCCAAGACCTTCTCTTAGGGCTGTCTAGCCTTGCTAGGAGAAGGAGAGATGGCCCTTATCCATTCCTTCAGCTATCCCGCTGCCCCAGAGCTCTCGGGCTGGGCAAGTCAGCTTGAGGATAAGATGTGGTAGGGTTGGGCTGCAGTGAGTGAGCTAAGCACATTGAATACTGGATAGAAGGGGCAGCTATCTGAGGGGCTGTGCCTGCCTCAAGTAATCTCCAGCTTGTGTGTAAGTACTCCTTGGAAATGTCACCAAGACATCACAGCTGAGACTAGCTCTTGGTCCTATGCTTTTCCTACTTGTTTATTTGTTTCTTGGCAGAGTGTGAACTGGACATACCTTGTGTTCCTGTGTAACAGGCGTGGCCCGGTACAAGTTCTCTCCTCTGCTTATTTTAGACTTTCCTGGACATTTCTTAGTACTCCCAGCACTGGGCTGCTATTTTTAGTGCCACCACCTCCTAGGGGACCTAAAATAAAGCTGGCTCCGTTTCCTGGCTCCTCATTGGCTAGAGTGTTGGTCGCAGGCTAGCAGATTGGCTGGATTGAGGATAAGCTGCTGTCCTCCTACACTGTCCCTCCTCACTGGCTCCTTTGGCTTTAGGTGAGGTCACAGGGACTGGAGTGAATTAGCACTTATCACATTGAGCTGAAGGCTTGACCAGGTTCCTTTAATGAGGCATCACAACCACTGGTTCCACCTCCATTTTATTGGAGGAGGAGGAGGCAGAGGCTAAGGCTCTAAGAAAGGTAGTGACTTGCATCATCTCCTACCACTGTTAATGGTTCTCTGCCAGGATTGAACCTACCTTCTCACTGCTTTGGTTTAGAGTCCTCATATCAGGAGAGAGGGGCTGGCTCCTCTAAAATCAGATCACTATGCAACAACACATGGATCTGCTGTCATGGGATCCTGCTGTGAGATGTGGACCTCCTTCCCCAGGAGGGGCCTAACAAAACCAGAGTGAGTCTCTCATCTAACACCCTTGAGGCATGGTGTCTATAGCTGGGAGGGTGCTTCCTCTTCCTCTCAGAAGTTAGAGAGGGACAGCCAAGGGATGAGAGATTTGAAGAGATGAAATGGTTCCCCCACAGAGCATCCATTTCCCCTCCCCACATCCCTCATCTATTACTTTGTGATCCCCTGAACTCATCCCTATCTCTGAAGTAGGTAGAGGTCACCCTCAATGAAGAAATGCCCCAGAAAGGGCCAGGCATTACCTGGCCTCAAATATATAAATTGTCTCCTTAAGACTAAGGGAGCCCTAACCATTGTGGCTCAGTGGATAAAGGGTTGGCCTGCAGACTAAATGGTCCCAGGTTCCATTCTGGTCAAGGGCATATACCTTGGTTGCGGGCACATCCCCAGTAGGGGGTGTGCAGGAGGCAGCTGATTGATGTTTCTCTCTCATTGATGTTTCTAACTCTCTATCCTTATCCCTTCCTCTATGTAAAAAATCAATAAAATATAAATAAAATAAAAAGATTAATGGGAGTCTTTTTGTAGCAAATGGGGCCTTGAGGAGTCATCTTCCCTCCATCTCACTGGGTCTTCCTCCACCGGCCAGTAAAGCACTGGGGCTGTGTTCAGGCACTGAGGGCTGAGTCCCACTAGGACAAGGAGGGAACCTGAGGGCTGTAATAGCAGACACTTATTACACAGGCATCAGTAGTTTCTGTCCTGCAAAATGGGAAGAAGAGCAATAACTTTTGCCTTGCAGATTGTTGAGAGGATTAATGAAAAGCTATGGGAGACTGCTTAGCTCTTCCCTAAAGGTCCATCCCCTTATTGGGCATTGAAGGACCTGTTCTCATTTTCCTTTGTCCTGGCTCCACCCTCAGTACCCATCTCTGGTGTTCCACAACCCTGGCACCTCTCTGTCTCATCAACCAGGGCTTCTCAAAGGAAAGGCTGAGTCTGGTCCACCTCGGCTCCCTACACTGGTCTGTACTGGGAAAGGTCTCCTACCAGTTCCCTGGGGCCTCTTCATGTTCCCTGTGTGAACAGACCTCAGCAAAGGATGTCCTGCTTGAGGAGGCCAAGGAGGGGTGGGGGTCAGTGAAGAGCTAGATAGCAGCTGGCTACATCCTGGTCCGGCAATACCAACGCTTTCCTCCCTGTTTTGCTGGTCTTGCAGGTTTCAACGAGGCTGGGAGACGCTCCAGAATGGGAGACAAGCCAATTTGGGAGCAGATTGGATCCAGCTTCATTCAACATTACTACCAGTTATTTGATAACGACAGAACCCAACTAGGCGCAATTTACGTAAGTCTCCAGCTCTAGAAACATGATCCCAGGGGATTAGTTCAGGTGTATTGGCCACTTTGTCCAGGTCACAAGTTCTGGCAGCCCTCACTGGATTTGGCTGTACCCTTCTGAGCTCCCCATGGGACATGGGGCCTGAAGTCTGGTCCAGCTACTTGGTTTACACATTCCCTTCTGTCATGTTCCACAAAGTAAGGATTCTGGTACCCTGGGCCGGGTGTTCTAGGCTGGCCATCCATGGTTCTGGAAGTGCCAATGTTCTAAATCAGGTGGCAGCAGACAGAAGCTAGGGCTTACGGTGCCTTCTGGAAGTAGCAACCATGAGCATCATCATTGCAAAGCTGTATTATGGAGGCCCCAGGTCTGGCTTCCTTTTGTAGACCAAAAGCGCCTGAATACTTGTGGGAAACAAATGGGATTAGCCCTGAGAGACTAGTATGTCCTTTGAAAAACCATTCTGTGCAGGCATTGTTTGCTGCTATTTTAAAGGAGGTCGTATATACCAGGAGCTATTTGTATTTGACCTTCCTAGGACTTGGTCAAAGAAATATGATTGATCAGGTTTGCCAGGATAAGAGTGATAGGAGACATCCAGCAGCCTCAGAGCCTGAGTGGACTGTGGCAGACCCCTGTCTCTCCCTCCAAAGAGTCAGGGTTCATTCAGAAATTTTGGAGGAGAGAAAGGGATCTTACCAGTGGAGGGCCAAATCCAGCATAACTATTATTTGATTGTCATCATCATAGATCAAGAATTTAAATAAAAAGCTTGAATTAATTTGACTTTGGGATCTTTGCCTTGTTGTTTCTTTATTTATTTAAATAATCTTTATTGATTTGAGAGTGAGGAGGGGAGAAAGATAATTTTTTAAAAAAATATATTTTATTGATTTTTGTACAGAGAGGAAAGGAGAGAGATAGAGAGTTAGAAACATCAATGAGAGAGTCATCGATCAGCTGCCTCTTGTACACCCCCTACTGGGGATATGCCCACAACCAAGGTACATGCCCTTGACCGGAATTGAACCCGGGGCCCTTCAGTCCCCAAGCCAATGCTCTATCCATTGAGCCAAACCGGTCCAGGCAAAATTTTAAAAAATATATATTTTATTGATTTTTTATAGAGAGGAAGGAAGAGAGATAAAGAGTTAGAAACATGGATGAGAGAGAAACATCCATCAGCTGCCTCCTACACACCCACCACTGGGGATGTACCCGCAACCACGGTACATGCCCTTGACCGGAATTGAACCCGGGACCCTTCAGTCCGCAGGCTGACGTTCTATCCACTGAGCCAAACCGGTTTTGGCGCTAAATCTTTTTAAAAAATATATATTTTATTGTTTTTTTTACAGAGAGGAAGGGAGAGGGAGAGAGAGCTAGAAACATCAATGAGATAGAAACATTGATCAGCTGCCTCCTGCACACCCACTACTGGGGATGTGCCCGCAACCAATGTACATGCCCTTGACTGGAATCGAACCTGGGACCTTTCAGTCCGCAGGCAGAGGCTCTATCCACTGAGCCAAATCGGTTTCGGCCAAATTATTTTTGATGATTTCTCTGGGACTGGTGCTGATTAACCACACACTAGGATGGCTTTTGGCTGAGCCGTGGCCATATATGGCCACCCTGGGGCTCATGCATATCTGAGGTCATATGACTTGAATAAAAACTTCAAAATGGACTTATTTAATAAGTTTATATTTTGTTAGTTTTTAGAGCCTGAGCTCTGGGACAACGGGGTATAATTAAAGTTAGTAGTGCCGGAACTGGTTTGGTTCAGTGGATAGAGCGTTGGCCTACGGACTGAAAGGTCCCGGGTTTGATTTCGGTCAAGGGCATGTACCTTGGTTGCGGGCACATCCCCATTAGGGGGTGTGCAGGAGGCAGCTGGTCGATGAAAGTTTCTCTCTCATTGACATTTCTAGCTCTCTATCTCTCTCCCTTCCTCTCTGTAAAAAATCAACAAAATATATATTTTAAAATATCAATAAAATATATTTTAAAAATAAAGATAAATAAAGTTACTAGTTTAAAAGCTATCCTCGAGCCAAAACCAGTTTGGCTAAGTGGATAGAGCATCGGCCTGCGGACTGAAAGGTCCCAGGTTCGATTCCAGTCAAGGGCATGTACCTTGGTTGTGAGCACATCCCCTGTAGGGAGTGTTCAAGAGGCAGCTGGTTGATGTTTCTCTCTCACTGATGGTTCTAGCTCTCTATCCTTTTCCCTTCCTCTCTGTAAAAAAATCAATAAAATAGAAGCTATCCTCGGTTTCTTTTGTTACAGGCAGGGAAATTGAGGTAAGAACTCATTCCTAAAAAATATTTGATTTTTAGGGTCTGCTCAGAGCCTCAGAGATACTTTTGTGCTCTGAGTCCCTGACCTCAGGTTTTCTGCTTTTCAGATTGACGCATCATGCCTTACGTGGGAAGGACAGCAATTCCAGGGGAAAGCTGCCATTGTGGAGAAGTTGTCTGTAAGTAAGAGCCAGGGTGGGGCTGCAGGCATCTCCTTCCCTGCTGGCCTCAGCTCACTACCCTCCCTTTCTATTGCAGAGCCTTCCGTTCCAGAAAATCCAGCACAGCATCACGGCACAGGACCACCAGCCCACGCCAGATAGCTGCATCCTCAGCATGGTTGTGGGCCAGCTTAAGGTAAGAGTGCTGCTAGGGAGAAGAGGGCAGGCAGGGGAGATTCCTGCGCTGCTGCCTTCCCTGTGATGTGATCTGCTTATCAAGGGATTCCCAGACAGAGGGACTCTCTAGAGTAGTGCTGTTCAATATAATAGCAACCAGCCACATGTGGTAATTTTTTTTATAGACTATTGATTTTTAGAAAGAGAGAAAGGGGGGGGGAGATATTTATGTGAGAGCAAAACTTCAACCTCCCATCCCCCAGTAGGGGGTATTGAACCCTCAACCAAGGCACATGCCCTGACAGGAAATTGAACTAGCAACCTTTTGGTATAAGAAGGACGCCCATCCAACTGAGCTACACCTGCCAGGGCCACATGTGTTCATTTAAAAATTACGTTAATTAATTAATTACCTTAAATAAAATAGTCTGTCAGTTACACTAGCCATAGTTCAAGTACTCAGTCACTATGGCTGCTTATTGGACAACACAGACAGAATATTGCTGTTATTGCAGTAAGTTCTAGTGGACAGCTCTGATTTAGAGCTTTTATGGAAAAGGGACAAGAGGTATAGGAGCAGGATGAGGCTGTGGTGCCAGTCCACTGTACCTTCATATTACCCCAAGGTGTGGGTGGGCCTTCTATAGGCAATTGATCCTGGACCGGCAAGCTGGGTGCCAAGTAGCAGTCCGCTACTGGAGTGCATGCTGCCACTCCCAGAGCTGGCTGCTTTCTCCTGTACCTGCTGAGCAAAGCAGGTTTTGGGAACTCCTGCATCTCTATATTTTCCCCTTCTCCTTCTTAAGACCTGTCATCTTCAAAATCTTCCTGTGGCCCCTCAGCACCTCTACCCCAAGGACTCTCCCAGAATCTCCTACCTCTTGTGCTTTAGCAACTGAAGCCAAATTCTTGGTTTCTAAAAAGCCTCTCTTCCTTCCCAAAGCAGAATAACTTGGCTTGACTAGGTCCCAGGGTCCTAGGACTGTCATGATGGAACTCAGAATAACAGTCCCTCTCCCTAAGCTAGCTAGAGTGTCTAATACAAGGATTGAGGGAGGCTTCCAAGGCTCTGCAGTGGACTCTAAGAGACCTGACTTGTGGCCTGGACTTCCCCTGCCTGTCCAAGATGCCCTGCCCAGTCTCTATGCTCAAATGGGCCTTGGGCCCAGCTGGTGTGGCTCAGTTGGTTGAGTGACATCCTGTGCACCAAGAGGTCATGGGGTTTGATTCCAGGTCAGGGTACATACCCAGGTTGCAGGTTTTATCCCTAGTAGGGGGTATGCAGGAGGTAGTTTATCTCTCTTACTGATGTTTTATTTTCTCTCCCTATACCTTCCATCTCTTTCTCTCTCAGAAAAAATAAAAGTTGCCCTAACTGGTTTGGCTCTGGATAGAGAGTCAGCCTGTGGACTGAAAGGTCCCAGGTTCAAATCTGGTCAAGGGCATGTACCTTGGTTATGGGCACATCCCCAGTAGGGGCTGTGCAGGAGGCAGCTGATCAATGTTTCTAACTCTCTAACCCTTCCTTTCTGTAAGAAAAAATAAAAAATAAATTAAAAAAAAAAATAAAAGTCACTAAAATATATATTTATAAAAAATAGACTCTTAGGAGGTCCAGGAGGCCCAGTGTCCACTTTTCCAAGCTGGGCTCAGTAAGCATTGACCTTTCCCACGTGGCTTCAGGTTCTTTCTTCTGTTTCTGTCAATCTCTCAGCCTTCAAAAGACTGATTTGCTTCCTTGCTGATAATTACCAGAAAAGACTAGTGATATTAGAGACAGCATTGATTATTGATTAGCTGAACTCCTACCTCATCTTGGTCTGCAGTTTAGCTGGAGGTCTCTTTTCGGTTTTCAACAGATCACTGATGACGATGCTTTGTGTTTTTCCCCTATAGAGCTGTGATCACAGCAGTGTGAACTCAGTTTTGAACCTTTTCTCATGTATTTGGCCACAGTCATCATTAGCAGTTGCTTCTCCTGATTGGATTAACTGGTGCAATCAGTTAATGAAGGGGTAGTATGAAGGCCCAGTGGCTTGGCACCACAGCCTTATCCTGCTCCTATACCTCTTGTCCCTATACCTCTTGGCCCCAAGAGTGTTAGGTTATAGATACTATAAATTTAGGAGGTGAGTGCTGCATTAAGTCTTTCAGATTGGTCACTTGTGCCCAGAGACGTGGGCTTAGAAGCAGGTATATGTTCTCTTTCTTTTGCTGTAGTTAACTGGTGAATTGTTCTGCAGTTTAAGTGCAAATAGCAGTGTGAGCTGCCATCTATAAGCCTCTATGTACTCAGTGTAGTGTTTTATACATTATATCAATTTGCACTCATGAGTATTCCTTGTCTCTATGAGGCCCTCTTACTGACTCATTTTTCTCTCCTTACAGGCCGATGAAGACCCCATCATGGGGTTCCACCAGATGTTCCTATTGAAGAACATCAATGATGCTTGGGTTTGCACCAATGACATGTTCAGGCTTGCCCTGCACAACTTCGGCTGACCTCCTCCCAGCCAGGCACTCATGCTGTTTCCTCCTCCCTCCTCTTCCAGATACTATTCACACTCCTCCAGATGCTCCAAATATCATACACAAACGAGCAGGACCGAGGTGGGAGCGGGCGCAGTGCGCTGCTGCTACCTAGGTATTGTGCATGATGTTTGGACGCTAGACTAGTTACATCTGACAGGAGAAGTTTGTGTTGTACCAGCGCATGCCTTGGAAAGACTTAATGCAAAAGGTTGTCTTTTTTTTTTTTTTTTTTTTTTTTTTAATCTACTGACAAGTTGCTCTAGTAACCCAAAGAAGTGAAGGAGAAAGCAGCTGCCTCACCGTCCAGATATTGATTTGTTCAGATGTTTCAATGCCTCATGATACAATAAAACCACAAAAATTTTCTTAACAGTTTAAATTGTTTTAATTAGTTTAATAGTTGTCTGGACATCTGTAACTACCCTGTCACATTGGCTGTCACATGTTTCACTCTCACGTCTCTATCCCAACTCAACAATACCTATTGCAAGGAGAAAACTGCTGAAGCAGCATTCCCAGCTAGCTTCTGTCAGAAGCCCAGGGCATAGTGTTGCCCTCCCCAACCCACCTGACTTGGGAAAGTGAGCTGCAGACAGGGAGAGCTCACGCCTGGCCTGAAGTTTCCCTTGCACTGAAGCATCTGCAGTCAGTTCTGACACCTGTGACCTCTACACTGGTTAGGGTCAGGGCTCCAGTAACCAAACGGTGATCCAGAATCCCACAACACGGAGATGCCTTGGCAAAAATGGCCCATCAGGTTCAGACCCACAGAGCAAAATTTGAGGGAGAGGGGGCTATTTTATCCCCAGAAGGGTTAGGATCACACAGGGTGTCCCCAAACCCCAAGCCAAGAACAGGGCAGTTTGAATCCTATACTACCTGCTTTGAGCAATGTCAGTTCAGAGCCTGTACCACATTGCTCAAAGGTAAGTGCCTATAGTTCCAGGCCCGGTTGGTTGGAGTACAGACTTAGAGCTATGAAAGAAGGCAATCTGAGTTTGAGGGATTTGTGCTCTAGGATTTATCACCTTTCAGACCTTTCTGCAAGGCATGTTTAGGCCTGTTCCCTTCCTAACACACAGCTTCTCACTGTCTTCAAATCCTTTAGCTATTGGGGCAGTTTATGCTCCTCAGTTTTGGACACAAAGGCCTTGCCCATGGCAAATCTAGAGACCTGGTGGCAAGGTAGCAATCGGACTGGAACCAAACCCAGGACTTGTGCTGGTGCCCTGTTAGGGGTTTTAGGATTGGCGAGGCACCACAGCTATGCCTGACCTGTACTCCCCCTTTCCCTCTACGGAGGAATGGAGGTCAAGGACTTTCTCAGACGCTGAGATACTGCCTGGCTATACTGGGCACAAGCTGGGTGTGTGCTGTTTGAGAGGAGAGCATATTCAAGAGATTTCAGTGGAACTCATCTAGGCTACTGTGTATTTGGGGGGTGGGAGAGGGAGGTAGGTGCTTATTGCCTCTTAAAACACCTTGTATTAAAATCTGCAATACAGCTTCTTCCATGTACCTGTGCCTGAAATGTCTGCAATAAAGAGGTCTTTGTAAACCGGTTTCTTTCTTCCTGCCTGAGGGTTCTGGGTTGGGTAATGGGATGCTGGAGGGCTCTTAGGAAACGATGGGATGTTTTTGGTAGAGGTATCATGATCTAGCAATTCCTGGACCTATTGACATCCTGGGTCCCCTCATTTCCTAAAGAGGAAAGCGAGACTCCTGCTAATTCAGCTTGTTCTGGAGAGGTCTAACTACAGCCTGGGTGGCGGAATTGACCGGGTCCTAGGCTCATCACGAGTCCATTCATGCCTTGGGAGTGGGCCTGGACCGGGCGGGATCGTATGGTTTTCTTCTGCCTCAGCCTTGCTAAACTCGCCGGCCCCGCGGGCCCTGAGGCGGGATAGCGGAGGGAGCCGGCTTCAGGAAGAGGGAGGCGTCCGCTCTCAGCCCGGAACCTTTCTTCTCCAGTCCGAGCAGATTCCGGAGCCGTGCCTCGGCGGGCCGGAAGTGGAGGCGGTTGGTGGGATTGGAGGGGCTCCGGGGCTTGGTGCGGGCCGCTGTTTGTGCGGGTGGACCCCATTGTAGTGACCTGCGTGCCGTGTCCGGTCCCTGCGCGGCTGTGTCCGGCCGGTGCGAGGCGGCAGCGAAGCGAACGCGGCGCGTTCCGGGCGCTTGTGGCTGGGCCTATGGCCTCCTGCGCGAGCATCGACATAGAGGACGCCACGCAGCACCTACGGGACATTCTCAAGCTGGACCGGCCCGCGGGAGGTGAGCGAGGACCGCGGGGGTGGGGCCTCGCCGCGGGGCAGAGGGGCGGCTCGAGCCAGGCTCGCCCTCAGGGCCTGCAGGCCCCTCCGGACCGGCTCTGCACCCTCCGGGCCGGCGAGGGCAGACGATGGTTAGAGCGGTAAGCCCCTAAGCATGTTCCCAGAAGGGCGCAGACCCCCGGTGCGATCCCTCCCCTCCCCACCCCACCCCGGTGCCGGGCCTTTTTGCCTCGTCCTTCAGCGTCTTGGCTGAAGGTGAGGCTCCTTCTCTTAAACCGCAGGGCCCCCTTGGTTTCCTGGCCCTAAGGTCTGTAATGTTTCTGGTACTCATCTAAGTTCCCAGCCCGCTTGCTTTAGTTCTGAGGCCTAGTCTGTGCTCTGCACGTCGAGTTGTGTCTAGACCTAGGCGCTGTGCTGAGGAGCTGTGGATCCCCTCTGCAACTTGCCCCTCTCTCCAAAAGAGAGACTTTAGGCATGCTTTCTGAAACTTTTCCGGAGAAAAGTGACCACTCCCAATTCTGTGTCCTTTCTGGGATGAAGGCAAATCACAGACTGCCTGGCTCTGATTGAACTCGGCTACAAACATCTGCCAGCCCTGGTTTATTTCCTTTCTCTGAAACTTCGTTTGGGCTTGCAGTGGATACTTCAGAGCTGCTCCTGCCCTCGGGAGCCTGTAATGCTGTTGGCATTGGAAGAGAGGAGTGTTTTGGTTTTTTGATGGGTATAGGATGGGTGGGGTGGGGACTGGAGAGTGCCTGAGAACAGGTCTGAGAAAGGAGACCATGTTTAGGTTTTGTAATATGAACAGTTTAGGGTCAGGAAGGCATTCACAGAAAGGAAATAGCATATGTGAAGGTAACCAGTTTCCTGGCAGGTTCAGTAAACTCTAGTGGTTAAAAGACCAGCTGTTGATGGTGGTTTAGGTGTGCAGTGTCCAGAGCTGAGAACTGGTGTTTCCTCAGACCCTGTTCTTTTTTTTCTTTTCTTTTCTTTTCTTTTCTTTTCTTTTCTTTTCTTTTCTCTTCTCTTCTCTTCTCTTCTCTTCTCTTTTCTTTTCTTTTCTTTTTTTTCTTTTCTTTAAATTGATTTCAGAGAAGAGAGAGATAGAAACATGAAAGATGAGAGAGAATCGTTACCAGCTGCCTCCTGCACACCCACTATTGGGGATTGAGCCCGCAACCTGGGCATGTGCCCTTGACAGGCATTGAACTAAGGACCCGACACTCTATCCACTGAGCCAAACCAGCCAGGGCCCTCAGACCCTGTTCTTAAATCTGCTGGGAGGCCCAAACTGGCTGCTCCAGCAGCAAGCACTGGTGCTCACTCGGTGTGGTTAACTACCGCCTGTTTCCTGAGAAAATCCTTCTGCTGCCTGGAACCACTGGGCCCTGTGCACAGCCCCGGAGTGTGCTCCCTTTACTCATGAGCATGGCTTGGGCCTTTCTTGCTCAGCAGCTGCTAGGGAGACTAGACTCCACAAAGGTTTGGTAGAGCCTGGCATGGCCAGCCTTGTGCATTTGTTTGTCCTCATGATAGTCTTCCTGGGAAGGTGAGTGGTCAGCTAACCCCTGAGCAGCCAAGGTGGCTCTGATCCAAGCAAAGTGGCCTGGAGACTTCTTTTCTGAACTCCTTGTTTATTGATTGATACTGGATTCTCCTGTTTGCCAAGGAGTTCTGGCTTGTCTCCTCTCACTGGAGGACCATGTCAGACCCCAGACTTTTTTGTCTCTAGAAACTTGATGTGATCCAGAATGTGGAACCCTAGTCTCCTTGCCACCTGGGAGTTTTGGAGTGGTGGTCGAGTCTAGGAGGGTGGTTGAAACTCAATAAGTGGCAAACAACTAAAATGCTGTCTTTCCTGACTCAACACACAACCCCATCGTTTCTCTCTTCTTTGTCCAGCTCTTCATGTTCATTCATCTTTTGTTTACCTGCCCAGGGAAGCTTCTTCTGGGCCATTTCTCTGTGAGGCAGGCTCCTTTCTTCCATACTCCCACATCTTAACACTCCCCTTCCACGCCTTAGGAGCTCATCCTTCTTCTCCAACCCCTGCCACTGCCTTGGTCTAGACCCTGGTATCTCTCACCCACATTCTCTACTATTCTGCATACTGCCTTAGAGCAAGGAGCCCTCTGGCCAGTGCTGACCGGGTCACCTTCCTTTTAAAAAAACTTGTGGCTCTCATCGCTACAGGGAGAATCTAAGCACCTTACCCTCATAACTGAGACCTCTGCAGCCTTGTTTTCCCTTCCACCTTCCCATGTTTGTGTGTTCTAGCTACACTGGCTTGATGGCAGTTCTTCTATAAAATCTGTCCTGACCCTGCCTTGCCCTCCCTCACGTACACATAGTCCTTCTGTTAATCAGCTTAATAATAACCCACAACCATCGGACCAACTTACACATAGTCCTTCTGTGTTGACTCACTCGGGCCTGAGTAGTAATTGGCCGTAGAGGAATTTTTGATGACTTGTACCCCGCTCCCAGGTAGAAGAGCCTCATGCTTATCCTTAGTCCTGGTATACATTGGGTTCACCTTAAGTGTTATGGAATGAGAGATGAACAAAGGGCCTGCCTTCCCATAGACATGTCTCAGTTGAGTGTTCCTAGAGTACCTTATGGTTCCAGAGGGAGGCTCTGCAGGCGGAGAGGTCAGTAGGCAGGTAGAACAACCTCATGATAGTGGTCCTACCTGTCCCCAGGCCCCAGTGCAGAGAGCCAGCGGCCATCTAACACCTACAATGGTGACCTCAATGGGCTCTTGGTCCCAGACCCCCTCTGCTCAGGCGATGGTACTTCAGCAAACAAGCCTGGTCTCCGATCCAAGCCATCCATTAACCTGCAGGAGAAGCAGGTCATGTGAGTACCTGGGAGATGATAGTGGTGGTGATGGCATCTTTGGAGTGTCTGTTAGCTGAAGGCATGAGATGGGGTGAGAGAAGGGCTGGCAGCCTCTGCTGCTCCCACACTAGATGTCCCAGGTGGAGCACTTAACCACATTGAGCTTGCCACATGTGAGGGGTGAGGGCAACCTCAAGGGCGTGGCCTGGACCTAAAGTTTAGGTGCCTGATCCAAGGCGGGAGGTGACCTACCAGTCTGGGGGC